AATACTGTCTCCATACTGGGAAACACTCCTGAATCTAAATACTGTCATAATTTTTTTATTCTACAGACTCTAAGTACTGTCTCGTTACTGGAAATCTCTCCTGAATCTAAGTACTATCTCGATATTTAATTCTACAGACTCTAAATACTGTCTCTATACAGGGAAACTCTCCTGAATCTAAATACTGTCATAATTTTTTTATTCTACAGACACTAAATACTCTCCATACTGGGAAACTCTCCTGACTCTAAATACTATCTCGATATTTAATTCTACATACTCTAAATACTGTCTCCATACTGGTAAACTCTCCTGAATCTAAATATTGTCTCAATATTTAATTCTACAGACTCTAAATACTGTCTCCATACTTGGAAACTGCCCAGAATCTATATCTGTCTCGATATTTAATTCTACATGCGTTAAATACTGTCATCATCAAAGGAAACTGCCCTGAATCTAAATACTGTCTCGATATTTAATTGCACAGACTCTAAATACTCTCTCCATACTGGGAAACTCTCATGAATCTAAATATTGTCTCAATATTTAATTCTACAGACTCTAAATACTGTCTCCATACTGGGAAACTCTCCAGAATACAAATACCGTCTCGATATCTATTTCTACAGGCTCTAAGTACTCTGTTTATACTAGGAAATGCTCCTGAATCTAAATACTGTCTCAATATTTAACTCTACAGATTCTTAATACTGTCTCCATACTGGTAAACTCTCCTGAATCTAAATACATTCTCCATATTTAATTCTACAGACTCTAATTACTGTCTCCATACTGGCAAACTCTCCTGAATCTAAATACTGTCTCCATATTTAATTCTACAGACTCTAATTACTGTCTCCATACTGGGAAACACTCCTGAATCTAAATACTGTCTCGATATTTAATTCTACAGACTCTAAATACTGTCTCCATACTGGCAAACTCTCCTGAATCTAAATACTGTCTCCATATTTAACTCTAAAGACTCTAAATACTGTCTCCATACTGGTAAACTCTCCTGAATCTAAATACTGTCTTGATATTTAATTCTACAGACTATAATTACTGTGTCCATACTGGGAAACTCTCCTGAATCTAAATACTGTCTCGATATTTAATTCTCTAGGCTCTAAATATTGTCTCCATACTATGAAACTCTCCTGAATCAAAATACTGTCTCAATATTTAATTCTATGAACCCTAAATGCTCTCACAATACTGAGAAACTCTCTTGAATATAATCACTGTCTCGATATTTAATTCTACAGACTCTAAATACTCTCACCATTTTGGGAAACTCTCTGAATATGAATACTGTCTCGATATTTAATTCTACAGAGTGACTCTAAATACTGTCTCCATTCTAGGAAACTCTCCTGAATCTAAATACTGTCTCGTAATTTAATTCTACAGACTCTGAATACTGTCTCCATACTGGAAAACTCTCCTGAATCTAAATACTGTCTTGATATTTAATTCTACAGACTCTAAATACTGTCTCCATTCTAGGAAACTCTCCGGAATCTAAATACTGTCTCAATATCTAATTCTACAGACCCTAAATACTGTCTCCATACTGGGAAACTTTCCTGAATCTAAATACTGTCTCAATATTTAATTCTACAGGCTCTAAATACTGCCTCCATACTGGGAAACTCTCCTGAATCTAAATACTGTCTTGGTATTTAATTCTACAGACTCTAAATACTTTCTCAGCACAGTAATTTACAGACTCGAATTACTGCCTCCATACTAGGAATATCTCCTGAATCTAACCTGTCTCTTTTTATAAGATCCTTTAAGTTGACTTAACACCTTTTCTTGCACCTGGGACACATCATTTTCAGGGTTTAAGACAATGATACTGCAATACCTTGCTTCTTCTTGGATCACATTTGCAAAAACAGGAATTATTCATACACACCTTTGATTTTTGTTGTTGTTTTTTTTTTTTTTTTTTTTGGTTGTTTTTTTTTTTTTTTTGGTTTTTTTTGTTTTTTGTTTTTTTTTTTTTTTGTTTTTTTTGTTTTTTTTTTTTTGCATATGAAAAAACATAAGTAATCAAAGATTACATAGCTCACCTCAACAAAAGTTATAGTTAAGTAATGCAGTCACGTAAAAATGAAATGGAACAAATTGCATAGATCATCCATGCAACTCCCAATGATCACACTACGTAGAAAACATGTATAAATGTTCCACACCAAAACTTATACGCGATATGCTAATGTCGATGTCGCAAGTATTACATTAGTCACATACTTAACACATAAAAACGCTCCACTCCAAAACTTTAATTCTATACGCTGATGTGGATGTCACAAGTATAGCATAAGTCACATATTTAACACATGTAAATGCTCCAAAACTTTGTTGAGGTGAGCTCAAAGAAACCCACCACCACTCATGCATAAATACTGACAATGACCAGACAACAAGAAACCACTTACTTCAGACTCTACTTTGGACTGAGGCACTGAGGCGAGGCATATCTTATGGTAGATGGAGTTTTGTGTGCAGATAAGACTTTCAAACAATAAACTTTGAAAATATAGAGCAAATAAACATGTTAAAATTTGAATACTGAAAATTTCAATAATGAATAAACAATGTTTTATCAACAGTGCATCATCATTTGTATCAAAGAATTACTAAATTAAGCCAAAATTCTAACATTTGCAAAATGTAGCAAACTTAATATTGAAACCAGATATATAAAAAAAACCAAAGTATTAATTTACTACCAAGCCAAATGATAAAAAAGAATTTAGAATTTATAAAAAAGTCATAACAGAAAATAAGCAAAATATGCAAAAGGTAACTGCTTTGACAGACAAACAAAAACAATACAAAACTCCCTAAAAAATCAGAACCAAAATATCAAATGCATCATGGACATCAATGAACAGGTGAGGGGGGGGGGGGGGGGGAGAGAAAAACCATTAACAATAAAGACATGTTAAAGAGGATAAAGGAAAATGGGAAATAATTATGAGAAAAACATTTTAAAGGGGAGGGAGGACAATAGGAAATAAGCAAGGCAGATTACTGTTGAGGAACAACATGTTATAAGGGAGGGAGGAAAATGGGAAATAAACAAGACAGGTAAATAATGAGGAAAAACATTTTATAAGGGAGGAAGGAAAATGGGAAATAAACAAGAGAGGTTAATAATGAGGAAAAACATGTTATAAGGGAAGGAGGAAAATAGGAAATAAACAAGACAGGTAAATAATGAGGAAAACGTGCTATAAGGGAAAGAGGAAAATGGGAAATAAACAAGAGAGGTTGATAATGAGGAAAACGTGCTATAAGGGAAAGAGGAAAATGGGAAATAAGCAAGACATGTTAATAATGAGGAAAAATATGTTATAAGGGAGGGAGGGAAATGGGAAAAACAAGAGAGGTTGATAATGAGGAAAAACATGTTACAAGGGAAAAAAGGAAATGGGAAATAAACAAGAGAGGTTAATAATCAGGAAAAACATGTCAGAAGAGAGGGAGGGAAATCGGAAATAAGCAAGGCAGGTAAATACTGACAAAAACATGCTATAAGGGAGGGAGGAAAATAGGAATAGACCTGTTAATAAGGAAGTATGAAATGTTAAATTCATGATCCCTACGTCTAAATACCGGTGTGTGAAAAAATATTTAGACACAGGGTTCATAAGTTACAGAGAAGGAAGACGGGTGAATGAAAAATATGTTAAAAAGGTAGAACATGTTAGTAAGCAGAGAGGAAATGGTTAATAATGGAGGGGGGGGGGGGAGTTTAACTGAAAATGAGAGACCTGTTAATAGGGAGTATGAAATGTTAAACTCATGAACCCTACGTCTAAATACCGGTGTGTGAAAAAATATTTAGACACAGGGTTCATAAGTTACAGAGAAGGAAGACGGGTGAATGAAAAATATGTTAAAAAGGTAGAACATGTTAGTAAGCAAAGAGGAAATGCTTAATAATGGAGGGGGGGGGGGTTAACTGAAAATGAGAGACCTGTTAATAGGAAGTATGAAATGTTAAACTCATGAACCCTACGTCTAAATACTGGTGTGTGAAAAAATATTTAGACACAGGGTTCATAAGTTACAGAGAAGGAAGACGGGTGAATGAAAAATATGTTAAAAAGGTAGAACATGTTAGTAAGCAGATAGGAAATGCTTAATAATGGAGGGGGGGGGGTTAACTGAAAATGAGAGACCTGTTAATAGGGAGTATGAAATGTTAAACTCATTAACCCTACGTCTAAATACCGGTGTGTGAAAAAATATTTAGACACAGGGTTCATAAGTTACAGAGAAGGAAGACGGGTGAATGAAAAATATGTTAAAAAGGTAGAACATGTTAATAAGCAGAGAGGAAATGGTTAATAATGGAGGGGGGGTTAACTGAAAATGAGAGACCTGTTAATAGGAAGTATGAAATGTTAAACTCATGAACCCTACGTCTAAATACCGGTGTGTGAAAAAATATTTAGACACAGGGTTCATAAGTTACAGAGAAGGAAGACGGGTGAATGAAAAATATGTTAAAAAGGTAGAACATGTTAGTAAGCAGATAGGAAATGGTTAATAATGGAGGGGGGGGGGGTTAACTGAAAATGAGAGACCTGTTAATAGGAAGTATGAAATGTTAAACTCATGAACTCTACGTCTAAATACCGGTGTGTGAAAAAATATTTAGACACAGGGTTCATAAGTTACAGAGAAGGAAGACGGGTGAATGAAAAATATGTTAAAAAGGTAGAACATGTTAGTAAGCAGAGAGGAAATGGTTAATAATGGAGGGGGGGGGGGGTTTAACTGAAAATGAGAGACCTGTTAATGGGAAGTATGAAATGTTAAACTCATGAACCCTACGTCTAAATACCGGTGTGTGAAAAAATATTTAGACACAGGGTTCATAAGTTACAGAGAAGGAAGACGGGTGAATGAAAAATATGTTAAAAAGGTAGAACATGTTAGTAAGCAGATAGGAAATGCTTAATAATGGAGGGGGGGGGGTTAACTGAAAATGAGAGACCTGTTAATAGGAAGTATGAAATGTTAAACTCATGAACCCTACGTCTAAATACCGGTGTGTGAAAAAATATTTAGACACAGGGTTCATAAGTTACAGAGAAGGAAGACGGGTGAATATGTTAAAAAGGTAGAACATGTTAGTAAGCAGAAAGGAAATGGTTAATAATAAACACATGTTAATGAGCAGAGAGGAAATGGTTAATAAAAAAGAATGTTAGAAGTGACGGAGGAGAATGGGAAAGAAGCAAGACAGGTTAATAATGAACAGACATGTTAGAAAGAAGGAAAAGAGGGAAAAGGGACACCACTCACCATCATCATGATGCCTCCCATCTCCTACTTTCCCACTGGTGGTGGCTTATCCTGGGGAATCACTTCCAGGGAAGGCGAGCATCGAGATGGAAGCCAGGAAGGATGACCTCCAAGAGACTGAGAAGATGGCAATGCCATCTCCCAAGCATGTGCAAGAGCATGATCTCTCTGAGAAGGAGCTATCACAGACTGAGTGGATAGCACTGCCATCCCTTCAGTTTGTTCAAGCTTCATCTCAGGAAGATCAAACACAGGCTTGGGAGCTGGCACTGCAATCTCCTCAGGCTGTTCAAGGTCTTCCAAAGGATTAGCTATCACAGACTGAGTAGATGGCAGTGCCATCTCTTCAGTTTGTTCTAGCTCCTCCTCAGGAAGATCAAGCACAGGCTGGAGAGGTGGCAGTGCCATCTCCTCAGGCTGTTGGAGAGCATCTCCAGCCCCCACCCTCTGCTGCCTGATGGACTTCCGCACCTAGAAGGAAAAAAAAAGTGTCAGAAACGGGTCAGAATATTAAATCTCAAACTATACAGAACCTCCAGTTCCATAGCATTCATTAAGAAAACAAGAGGCCCAAGGGCCTTGAATCGCTCTTGTGATAAACTGTACAACCTATCACTTCTTTTTAAAGCCTTTAAATATCCTGTATATTTAGATAAAGCCTTGAAATTCCAAAAGTAAATCATGACCTACATTTTGGTTCAAACACTCCGAGAACCCAGGATGAATCAACTGACAAAGTGTGATGAATCAAAGCCCCTTATTATCTTAATTATTCAGATATAGCCATGAGATTATGAGATTTCATTTGATGATTCTTAGTGAATTAGGACCTGAAATATTTGAACATAGCCATAAAATTTCAAAAGTAGGTCACAGTGACCTTTTTAGTTGACCTTCTCTGAAGAACCAAGATTCATCAACTGACAAAGTTTGATGATTCTTAGCCAATTAGGACCTGAGGTATTTAAATATAACCATAAAATTTCAAAAAGTAGGTTATGGTGACCTACTTTTTGGTTGACATTCTCCGAGGACCCAAGATGCATTAATTGACTAAGTTTGATGATTCTAATCCGATAAGTACCTGAGATATTTAAATATAGACTTTAAAATTTCAAAAGTAGGTCTTGGTGACCTACTTTTTACTTGTGGTTTTCCGAAGACCTAAGATGCATCTATTGACAAAATTTGATGATTCTAAGCCAAAAAGTACCTGAAATATTTAAATATAGCCATGAAATTTCCAAAGTAGGTCACAGTAACCTTCTTTCTAGTTGACATTCTCTGAGGACCCAGGATGCATCACCTGACAATAATTAATGATTCTAAGCCAATTAGAACCAGAAAATATTTAAATGTAGCAATAAAATTTCAAAAGTAGATCATGGTAACCTTAAATATAGCCATAAAATTTTAAAAGTAGGTCACGGTGATCTACTTTTTAGTTTAAACTCTCTGAGGACCCAAGATGCATCGACTGACAAAGTTTGATGATCATAGGACTGATAGTGTCCAAAATATGCCTTTAAAACAATTTGAAAAGGAATGCCTGCAAAATTCAAGAAGTAGGTCACTGTGACCTACTTTTTGATAAATATGTTTTAAGTTCCTTAGATGAATCAATTTACAAGGTTTGATGATTCTAAAGTTTTAAGTATTTGCAATGATGACCCTTAAATGTTTTCAACAAGACTAGCCATAAAATTCAAAATAGTAGGCCATAGTGACCTACTTTTCAGTTAAAGTACTTTGAGGACCTACGATGCATCAACTGACAAAGTCTAATGATCATAGGCATTAAAGTGTCCAAAATATGCATCAAAATCATTTTAAACACAAATGCCAGAAAAATTATACAAGAGGCCCATGGGCCACGATGCTCACCTGAGTCAATATGGCCCTGCTGTTCTTCGTCAGCAGATTTCTATTCATATGTAAAGCTTTGATCAGCTGTTCTAGGTATACCCTACCCCCAGGTGCCATGTTTTGAATGAAATTGAAACTAAACTTTTTGAGGATGCTTCTATATTCATTTAACTAATCATGGCTTTGCTGTTCTTGTAAACGGAATTTTAAAGATGTCTGCCACCCTTTCGGGGGGGGGGGGGGGGGGGGGGGGGGGGTCATGATATGAACAAACTTGACTCTACACTACCTGAGGATGCTTCCATATGAATATGAGGCCAAAATTTTTTTATTTTCTGATTTACGGAATTTTTTTCTCAAAAATTTGAGTCGGGTGGTCGAAATAAAAATAAGAATAAAAGCTTGAAGTTTAAGCAGTCGGTCAGAAAAATAAAAATGAAATGAAAACATAGGTAATCAAAGATTACGAAGCTCACCTCGACGAATGTTATCTTTAAGTAAGACAAATTTCACATCATATTCTTTTTTTAGTTTGTGTACATCCCAAGATCAATATCCATGCAAGTTTGGTTTAAGTACAACTTATAGTTACTAGGAAACAGACCTGTTCAAAAAACGTTTATCCTGTTTACTAATCAAGAAAATTTTGGTCAGTTCCAACATCCAAAATAAGTCTGGAAGTTTTCATCCTCAGATGCACCATCTATGCAAGTTTAATCATAACAGGCCATAATGTTATATAGTTACTCCAAAAAAAGTATCCTGGACACTCATCTGGAAAATGCAGGTCAGATTCAGAATCCAAAGCAAATCTGAAAGTGACCGTCCCTAGCTACATCATCCATGCTAATTTGGTTAAAATATGGCAAAAATTCACTCATGTGGAAGATCTAGGTCGAACCAGCAGGTTGGGTAGTGTACATCCCAAGATGCATCATCCATGCAAGTTTGGTCAAGGTAGGGCTTATAGTTTCTTGGGAATGGATCTGCTCCAAAACATTTAACCTGGTCACTCATCTGGAAAATCTAGGTCAGATCAAGCATTGAAGCAAGTGTGGTAGTGTCCATCCCTTGATGCATCATCATTGCAAGTTTGGTCCAGGTAGAGCTTAAAGTTACTTGGGAATGGACCTACTCCAAATACCTTAACCTAATCACTCATCTGAAAAATCTAAGTCAGATCCAGCAGCCAAAGCAAGTGTGGTAGTGTCCATCCCTAGATGCATCATCCATGCAAGTTTGTTCAAGTTAGGGCTAATATTTACTCGGGAATGGATCTGCTCCAAAAACTTTAACCTGGTCACTCACCTGGAAAATCTAGGTCAGACCCAGCATCTGTAGCAAGTGTGGTAGTGTCCATCCATAGATGCATCATCCATGCAAGTTTGGTCACGGTAGGGCTTATAGTTACTTGGGAATGGACCTGCTCCAAAAAACTTTGACCTGGTCACTCATCTGGAAAATCTAGGTCAGATCCAGCATCTGAAGCAAGTGTGATAGTGTCCATCCCTAGATGCATCATCCATGCAAGTTTGGTCCAGGTAGGGCTAATAGTTACTTGGGTATGGACCTGCTCCAAAAACATTAACCTGGTCACTCATCTGGAAAATCTAGGTCAGGTCTAGCACCTGAAGCAAGTGTGGTAGTGTCCATCCATAGATGCATCATCCATGCAAGTTTGGTCAAGGTAGGGCTTATAGTTACTTGGGAATGGACCTGCTCCAAAAACTTTAACCTGGTTACTCAACTGGAAAATGTAGGTCAGATCCAGCATCCGAAGCAAGTGTGGTAGTGTCCATCCCTAGAAGCATCATCCATGCAAGTTTGGTCAAGGTAGGGCTTATAGTTACTTGGGAATGGACCTGCTCCAAAAACTTGAACCTGGTCACTCAACTGGAAAATGTAGGTCAGATCAAGCATCCGAAGCAAGTGTGGTAGTGTCCATCCCTAGAAACATCATCCATGCAAGTTTGGTCCAGGTAGAGCTTATAGTTACTTGGGTATGGACTTGCTTTTAAAACTTTAACCTGGTCACTCAACTGGAAAATGTAGGTCAGATCCAGCATCTGAAGCAAGTGTGGTAGTGTCCATCCCTAGAAGCATCATCCATGTAAGTTTGGTCAAGGTAGGGCTTATAGTTACTTGGGAATGGACCTGCTCCAAAAACTTTAACCTGGTCACTCAACTGGAAAATGTAGGTCAGATCAAGCATCCGAAGCAAGTGTGGTAGTGTCCATCCCTAGAAGCATCATCCATGCAAGTTTGGTCCAGGTAGAGCTTATAGTTACTTGGGAATGGACTTGCTTTTAAAACTTTAACCAGGATGCTAATGCTGACGCCAACACCGATGCCGGGGGTATAGCATAAGCTAATCTCAACTTCGTTGAGGTGAGCTTAAAATGCAATAAAAATTTTATTTTTAATTAAGGATGGATTTTTTTTTTCTATGACCTTAATTTGTTAGGAAAAAAAAGTTATTTGAAAAACTTATGTATACAAAACACAAAACTGGTACTGTTAATGTATCAATGAACTATTTTAAATTGAACTTTCTCTTAGATATATGGGGCAGGGGGTGCATTTCTAGTAATAACAGCTCGCAGTTTCTAACATTAATGCAAATCAAGCATACAAATCTGTAGTCTTCTCTCAGTTATCAAATATCATATTAGTGTCACCACAGTAAAACTTATAGGACTTATATCACATCCCTCATAAACTTTTCAGAATCTTTTATTTTTCGGTATTCAGCAAATTACAAGATTTGAGGATTTTGAACTAGCTCTGGCAAAGTTATGGCAAAAATACAGTGAGACATTCAATGGATCAGCTAAAATAAATTAATTCACAGAAGTGCACGTGAAACATGATAAAAAGAAAAGTTGTATAATATTTTTTTAATGCAATTCCAATTAATATATATGTAGGTGGATTGTCTTAAAATTGAGTTTAAAAAAATCTTTAAAATGTATTTCAACGTGGACGAAGGGTGATCAAAAAGTTTGCGAACTATCTCTATATTTAAAAAACCACAATTCAGATCAGAATTAAATTTGGCACACATATAGTCATACACATGTTCCATAAATAGCAGATGTTAAAAAATGTTTTGCTCCATGTTTGTGACGTCACAATGTAAAAATGACGTCAGTCTGTAGCTATAGGTCACTTGTGACAAAAAATGGTTGACTCAGTCGTACTCGAGAATGAACAGCTGTAAAGTTTAACATATATCTCTGAAATTCCTTTGCAGTAGAACATGATAATTTGTACAAGGTTTATGAAGACAAAAGACTTACCAGAGGTTCACTCATTAATTGGATTGAATGTTTTAGTGAAGGCAGGGAGATGGTTAAAAATGATGTTTGTTCTGTTGCCCAGCGAATGCAAGTCAGTAAAAAGAGATGTGTCTTTAGTTGAGCAATTTGTTTTGAAAGATCGCCAAGTTACAGTAAGAAAAATAGTTGAATATCTGAGCAATAATATAAATATGAAATCCCTAAAATATTATTTACTTTAGACTTTAAACTTATGAGATATGAAAAAAAAGAAGGCCCCCATACTTTTTCCTCATTGGATAAACGATGCTCCCGAGACAGAGGACTTGGGTTCTGATGGTCACCATGCTAATTCTGGGAAGGGATATCCTTATCCACCCATCCTATTGCCGAGATTTGACTATTTCTGACAGATGGTCTGTTCTTGTTACAAGAAATTACTTGCATGGTCAGAAATATAAGACTCTGAAAAATTTCTTAGCTTCTGTGAACAGACCGCTACAAAGCATGTCACGTGACTGCCTGGATTACGTGATTTGTGCTTGGGCAGAACAATGGCAGATGTGCATCAAAATTGGAGAGGACTACTTTAAAAAATAATAAACACTGAAACCTCATTTTATTTCTTTTAAGTAATTCAATTAGTTCGCAAACTTTTTGATCACCCCTCATATTGAAGCAACTGTCAAAGATAATATGTACTCAAACCTTTCAAAACAAGCGGTTGACAGAACCTTGATTCCCACGTGACCCACTGCATGACATTTGATCAAAATAACTATTTCGTCTATTTCATTCAATCTTTCATTAAAAGTTAATCTGAAAATTATACTTTTTCTAATATATGACATTGACATGTCACTTTTTAAAATGAATATTTAAAAATGTATGATACCCTCCGATTTTGACATGTCACTTATTAAAATGACTATTTAACAAGAGGCCCAGGGGGCACATCGCTCACCTGAGCACTATGGCTAGGAAAAAGCAGAAATCATTTCAATCTTGAAAGGTTGAAAAGTTTAAATATAAAAGTGGTTGGGGGGGGGGGGGGGGGTGTCAGGAATTGAACAAATTTGAATCTACATTATCTGAGGATGCTTCCATTTAAATATGACCAATCATGGCTTTGCTGTTCTTGAATAGAAGATTTTTAAAGATTGAACCTATGTATTCCTATGTAAAACTTTGATCACCCATTGTGGCCCCACCCTACCCCCGGGGGTCATGATTTGAACAAACTTGAATCTACACTACCTGAGGATGATTCCATATCAATATGACTAATTGTGGTTTTGTTGTTCTTGAGAAGAAGTATTTTAAAGATTTTTCCTATATATTTCTATGTAAAACTTTGATGACCCATTGTGGCCCCACCCTAACCCCGGGGGTCATGATTTGAACAGACTTGAATTTACACTACCTGAGGATGATTCCATATCAATATGACTAATTGTGGCTTTGTTGTTATTGAGAAGAATTTTAAAGATTTTTCCTATATATTCCTATGTAAAACTTTGATCCCCCATTCTGGCCCCACCCTACCCCTGGGGGTCATGATTTGAACAAACTTGAATCTACACTACCTGAGGATGATTCCATATCAATATGACTAATTGTGGCTTTGTTGTTATTGAGAAGAAGATTTTTAAAGATTTTTCCTATATATTCCTATGTAAAACTTTGATCCCTCATTCTGGCCCACCTTACCCCGGGAAGTCATGATTTGAACAAACTTGAATCTACACTACCTGAGGATGATTCCATATCAATATGACTAATTGTGGTTTTGTTGTTCTTGAGAAGAAGTATTTTAAAGATTTTTCCTATATATTTCTATGTAAAACTTTGATCAGACATTGTAGTCCCACCCTAACCACAGGGGTCATGATTTGAACAAACTTGAATTTACACTACCTGAGGATGATTCCATATCAATATGACTAATTGTGGCTTTGTTGTTATTGAGAAGAAGATTTTTCAAGATTTTTCCTATATATTCCTATGTAAAACTTTGATCCTCCATTCTGGCCCCACCCTATCCCGGGGAGTCATGAATTGAACAAACTTGAATCTACACTACCTGAGGATGATCCCATATCAATATGAATAATTGTGGCTTTGTTGTTATTAAGAAGAAGAATTTTAAAGATTTTTCCTATATATTCCTGTGTAAAACTTTGATCCTCCATTCTGGCCCCACCCTAACCCTGGGGGTCATGATTTGAACAAACTTGAATCTACACTACCTGAAGATGATTCCATATCAATATGACTAATTGTGGCTCTGTTGTTCTTGAGAAGATTTTTTAAGATTTTTGCTATATATTCCTATGTAAAACTTTGATTCCCCATTGTGGCCCACCCTACCCCTGGGGGTCATGATTTGAACAAACTTGAATCTACACTATGTAATGAAGGTTTCACATAAGTTTCAACTTTTCTGGCCCAATGGTTCTTGAAAAGAAGATCTTTAAAAGATGACACCAAATTTTCACAAATTCTTAATTATCTCCCCTTTGAAGAGGGCATGGCCCTTCATTTGAACAAACTTTAACCCCCTTTACCCAAGGATGCTTTGTGGCAAGTTTGGTTGAAATTGGCCCAGTGGTTCTGGAGATGAAGTCGAAAATGTGAAAAGTTTACAGACGGACGGACAGACAGACGGACTACAGACAAACTGTGATCAGAAAAGCTCACTTGAGCTTTCAGCTCAGGTAAGCTAAAAAAAATGAAAGTTGAAAATAACCACGACTAACTAAATCTTTCTGTAAAATTATAGAAAAAATAAAACTATAAAACTAATATACTTACCGGGAAGTCCATCACGTAGTCGCTGTGCCAGGCAGGGCGTCGTCGAATCCTCCCAGATCGTCTAGGTTCCATCTAGATAAAAATAAAAATTTATCAGTATATGTCCCAGGCCAAAAGTTAATATTTTCCTTAAATTTCAAATTATATGGCACTAGAGCATCCAGTTTTTCCAGGCTTGTATTTAAGTGAGGTTACAGAACTCCCAATTTGGTAAAATTAACCCATATGTTCTCCGAGTATTTCAACTCTTTTTTTTTTTCCAATGAAAGGTTCTCAAGGTTCCTTGTCCTTTTGCTTACTCATATAAAATATTTTCCTTAATGCTTTTAATTGTCCTAGTAAAGAAATCTTATTCATAATTAAAATACACACAATGTCAACATACTTTGCATAGCAAAGGTAAACTTGACATTTATTGAAGGAATAATAGTCATGCATTATACTGTACCAGTCAGAGTTATCTTTTTTACCAGAGTTTCAATGAATATTAAAGATTGAAATGTTAAAAGCTAGGTTCAGAAATAAACAACTTACTTTTCTTCAGACAATATTCATTAAAATACCATGTGGTAATTGTGGCCCCTTGTTCATTAATATAATTGTATCTTTAAGGAGCCTCTATGTATACACTTATAATTAAAATAAGATTTTGGGGCACTAAGAAAACTGTACGTACCACATAAAGGTGTAAATACAGAGTTTATAAGCCCTTCAACTGATTCTAAGGTTCCATGTGAAGAATGTTAACTCATTATTGGGGGCTGTTTACAACAGGTGCAAGTTAGCTAAATAATTTTTAAGTATGTGTATCAGTTTAATACTCAAGTCCTTGGTGGGACAGTGGTCAATGTTTGATCTACATATGCAGTCATAGAGTAAGAGGATCAGTTAGACTTCATGTTGCGGGTTCATGAGAATTTCAACTTACCCACACGAGACGGTATTTTTCCACTCTTCATCATAATTAATTTTAAAACAAAGTGATAACACTTCTTTTCTAAGCAATTTTCATTTAAACTAGAAATATGTCCATAGGACATGGAGGCCCCACCGAGGGTATATTAATAACGCAATAATTTGTATAAGTGTATGAAATTTGATGAGAATATCTTGAATAGTTTCTTTAAAATTGAAATCTAAAAAGTTGGATATAGATTGATTGATTGATTGTATGTTGTTTTACGTCCCATTCGAGAATTTTTCAATCATATAGAGACGTCACCATATACCGGTGAAGGGCTTCAAATTTTGACCTTTACTCGGCACTCAGGGCCATTGAGCAGTGAGGGATCTTTATCCTGTCAACGCCTGCCGTGACACGGGGCCTCGGTTTTTAAGGTCTCATCCGAAGGACCCGCAACTTTCACTTCAAAGTGCCGAGCGCATGGCGAAGGAACAGTTGCTACCCATTTTTTATTGAATTAGGTCAGTCGCGGCTGAGATTCGAACTCACGACCTCCCGATCACGAAGCGAGCACTCTACCGACTGAGCTACCATGAACGGTAGTCGGATATAGATGATAAATTCTCACCAAATTATGTATAAGTGCATAAGCTTACATAAATACATCTTATAATAAATGGTTTCTTTAAAACTAAGCAAAATGCAAATCGAAGAAAAGTGAGGTCAAAGTCAAAGGAAAGTTCAAGGTCAAACATTTTTGATGCAGTTGAATAGTTCTCACAAATACATATCAGCAAATCAAGTTTGATATGAATATTTTGATGAATAAATGAAGTTAAGGTCAAAGGAAAGGTCAAGGTCAAAAAATGTTGATGCAGTTGAAAAGCTTACATCAGTATGTATTAGCATATGAAGTTTGATAAAAATATTATGAATGGTTTCTTTAAAACTGAGGTAAACACAAATTGATAAAAGTTAGGTCAAGGTTAAATGAAGGTCAAGGTAAAAAATGTTGATGCAGTTGAATTGCTTACATTAGTATGTATTAGAATATGAAGTTTGAGAAAAATATCTTCAAAAGTTTCTTTAAAACTAAGCTAAAAACTAATTTAAGAAAAGTGAGATCAAGGTCCTAGGAAAGGTCAAGGTAAAAAAATTGTTGATGCAGTTGAATAGCTCTCATTATTATGTATCAACATATGAAGTTTGATTACACTATCTTGAATGGTATCTTTAAAACTGAGCTATACACTAGTTAAAGAAAAGTGAGGTCAAGGTCAAAGGAAAGGTCAAGGGCAAAAAATGTTGATGCAGTTGAATAGCTCTCATTATTATGTATCAACATATGAAGTTTGATTACACTATCTTGAATGGTATCTTTAAAACTGAGTTATACACTAATTTAGGACAAGAGGCCCAAGGGCTTTAACGGTCACCTGAGTACAATACAACAACTAATAAATGAAGCTTTGCTGCCCATAAGCAAGAAAAATAGTATGATTAGGATCAACAAAATAATTGGTCTAGTATCTATCTGTCCCATTACCATGCAGACTATTAACAAAATGTCTATTTTTTAACCCTGTATAATTCCTTCTTACATTGGCCTCTCTTGGCCTTTGAAGAACATTTAAAAAGATGTTATTTTTGTCTCATTTTTATTCATATTGTTTCCAAGTCTACCTTATCATTAAAACTATGAAAGTACTTTTTGTATTAGACAATAAATATTCTTGCATAATTCTCATATTCTATTAACCTTTCAAATACATTGTTTACAGTGATTAATTATCAAAGGTGAATGGCAAAGGGGAATAACTTTGCTCAGCAGAATACAAGTTAATAGAGCTCTGGCCGGGACCAGAACACTTAACTAAATGGTCCAGGTGTTCAAAATTCTGGTAAAAATACCTTTGCATATTAAAACTTTTACTCTGTTTGCCTTGAATATGCCAAGAAGCATAGAAGATTTTCAAAGAAATGCATTTCCACTATATCATTAAATAAATAAAGCCCCACCCTTACACCAGAACATCTGACCCAGGGGCCATGAACTCACAATTCTGGAAGAAGCAGCCTTGCTCATCATCACCATACACTTGTTTCTTTGCTTTAGGCCAACATTTTTTTATTAAATGATTTACGGGAATTTTTTTTAAAAAATTGGGTCGGGGGGGATATATAAAAATAAAAATAAAATTCCATATTTTACACAGTCGACTAAAAAAATAAAAATAAAATTGGAAAAGGTGTCTGATTTTTTTTTTTCAATTATTCGATAAAAATTGCCTTATTAACGGTGTGGACCTTAAAATATGATAACCCCAACCCAAAAATTAATGTAGACTTTTAAACCCTTATGAGAAATGGGGGAAATCTAAGGAATTTCTTATCAAAATATTCATCATGACCACAACAAGATGACCAAAGAAAAAAATGTTTGTAAAGAGAACCTCACTATGCTCAAAGTACTGAAAAAATCATGAACCAACAAAATCAAAAATGGAAAATGCAGTTTTATAAAGAGAATCTCAATACAATATAAAACCCAGAATCATGTTTTAAACCTGTATATTACAATACAGCATATAATTATGCATATTAAAAACTTCTGAAAGCTTGAAAGTATTAACACATTAAATACTGTTTCGTTTGCAGTGTATGTTTATATATATTCAAAAATTATTTAACACACAACAAAATACTTCTGAATTTTCAGTCTGTACAGTGCTGCATATGATCTTTTTAAAATGTTAACATTACAAGTTTGAAAACATTTCTTGGATATACATGCAAGTTAGATACGCCACATTTTATTCTTCACAAAATTCGAACGTCTAGTTTCGATTTCCATTCTTTTATCATGTTCATCAAAAAGTATATCAAAATTGTAAAAGAGAACTACTGTATACGGTACTCAAAGCGAAAGTGACAGTCCTGTCAACATATCCTCTAGTAAAATTATGCCGATCATTTCTTTAATTTCTTTTTAACTTCGACGTAACTTCATCATCGGACATACTCTAATTTACTTTCTTGTTAGCTATGGTTGACTTGCAAAAACTATCGTGTATAAGGACAAAGTATTCTCAACTTTTGTAAAACTTGACATTTCTACATCCATGTTGGCACATTTATACACTTCCGAAACACTTCCGATAACAAATGTAAATTGATTGGATGATAATAATGGCTTTCAATAAAGCAGCCAATCAGAATTGCCGACTTATTTGCACATTATTTTATTTTCTAAGTGCACTTGCATTGACGATCGGCGGGAAATTTAAAATTAAAAGCATGCAACAACAGGGACTTTTATTTTTATTTGCTTTTTGCTAAAATTGCAGTCGGCGATTTAAAAAAATCATTTTATTAAAAAATGTTGGCCTTACAAGTAATAGCTTTTGAAAAAGCTTGCCTGACTAAATCAATCAATATCTATGGATCGTATAAGCAAGTGAAGTGCTAAACGTTTCCGTCATCATGGAGCGACATAGTTGCGATACTTCATTACACAAGATGTACAATTGACTTTCTCAAATGCGATAACTAGATATTACAGATTAATGAATATCTAAGATATTATTTGTTTAAATGCAGGTAACAAATTCCGATGTAAATCAGCTTGCACAAAATCTAGCTCACTAAGTATGATCGTTTAGTTTCAGACCATGGAAAAATTTATCCTTATACTGCCTGACGCACGTGGCATCAGGCAATAACCAGTAGTAGAAAAAATATTTTAATAGAAATTATGCATTTTCATTATATAATCAATAGTCCCCCCCCTTCACCAGAACCCCTGACCCAGGGGCCATGAAATTCACAATTTTGGAAAAGGCATTCTTGTTCATCATAACTATGTACTTAGTTACTTTATTTAATACCCAGGAGCAGAGAAGAAGATTTTCAATGAATTAATGCATTTTCACTATATAATCAATAGAGCCCTACCCTAACACCAGAACCCATGACCCTGGGGCCATGAAATTCACAATTTTGGAAGAGGCACTCTTGCTCTTCATAACTATATAAATATGTACTTAGTTAGTTACTTTATTTAGTACCCAGGAGCAGAGAAGAAGCTTTTTCAATGGAATAATGCACTTTCACTATATGATCTATATAGCCCCACCCCAGCACCAGAACCCCTGACCCTGGGGC